TCCTCTTTTTGCTGAGGAAGACCGGCTCTGAGCTAACATCTATTGCCAATCCTCCTCCTTTTTTTCCCCAAAGCCCCAGTAGATAGTTGTATGTTATAGTTGCACATCTCAGAGTTGCTACTTTTGATGCCTCAGGAAGAGTTCTCGGACACTTTCACCTGTCCACCAATGGAATGAGCTCCCACAGCAGTAGAGGACTTCCTCTGCACTTGGGAGGTATGGAAAGCTGTAGGAGGGAGTCCACATTGGAGATTAGAACAGCTGACCTCTAAGGGCCCGTCTCAATCCAAGATTGTCTAATAAAGACTTTTGAACAGCTGTGGAGAGGCTATACTTGGAATTACAGTAAGATCCTATTATTGCAAGAACAAGTAGACTTTTCTTTTTAAAGAATATTTTTTTTTAAGTAGAAATTGACAAAATTACCCTCTTTAATTATAACGGAAGATAAGTCATGCTTGGGCTTCCTTCTTTTTCTCTTTTAATTAATGGATTTGCCTATTCAAAAGCTTAATAAAAATTATATATAAAACACCAAAACATCATTACAATCTTCCTTCCTTGATTTTGTACAAGGAGCATTCCTGGTGTTTGTGCAGAGTTTTTGTTGATTCTCTTGTATAGACATACACCTGACTTTTAAAAACATAATTTATTTTTGTTCCATTTGATATATTAGTTATTTTAGTGATGCTTATTTTTTCCATCACCAGTGCTACTCACCTAATGTTTTTGACTCCCAGGCTCCATAATTGGGTGGCACTTCCTGGCCCTCTGGTGGGAGGAAGGGCAGCGTGATAAGCTGGCCAATGAGTGAAAGTGATATGTGTCACTTCTGAGCCGAGCATTCCTTTGATTGCCAGTGCGGGACCCTCCAGATCTCTCTTTATTTTTCCCTCTGTTACAACTACCAGCAACATTCAAGATGGTCCCAGAATGAGAAAACATAGAACAGAATCCCCAGATGACATATGATGAATGTATAGTGGGAAAGAGAAATAAAACATTATTTTAAGCCACTAATATTTTGGAGTTATTTATTGCTGCAGTGTAACCAAGTGTATCCTGACTAGTACTGGGTCACAGAAAACACAGACCTGCCATGTCCAACATGGTAATTACCAGCTACCTGTGACGATTTATATTTAAACTTAAATTTAATTAAGTTAAAATTTCAGTTCATCAATCACACTAACCACATTTTAAGGACTCAATAGCCACATGTGGCTAGTGGCTACCGTGATGCACAATGCAGATACAGAACATTTCCATCATTGCAGAAAGTGTTGTTCAACAGGGCTGAAAGAGAGAGGTAGCATTTTTATGAGAGTTGGTAATGATATCTTCTAACATTTCTTGTTATTTTAAGTGCACATCTAATACCACCTTGGAGTTATTCTCAAAAGGTTTGGCCTTTTTAAAAAGAAATCTCTGGGAGCATCCAGTGGAGGTTACCTTCTGGAAGAAAATAAATCACCCTGACCAGTTACATTTCTGAGAACCAAGTGCTCAGAAGGTCTATTCCTGAAAGTTACATTGACGCAGAGGATTGACACCTTTTTGTTCCTCTTGACACTTCTCATAAATGAATTCCCAGAGTAGATTTTTTCAGTCCATCCTCTATGAGCCTATCCACATTTTCTACTTCTCATTCCTCTCTGTCCTTAAGTAGCTTAATGGGCACCTGGTGTAAGATCTGAGGTGGTCTCTCTTAATGAATTCATTTAAATTTATTAACATCCTTGTAAACATTGTTTCTATTATAAGAAAATCTTGTGGGAGCCCAAAACTGAACCAAGATATGAAATAATCCTTCCCAACTATTCATTAATTCATTCAACAAACATCTAAACACTAGAAATACAAAAATTAAAGTTTCCCCACAGGCCGGCCCCGTGGCTTAGCAGTTAAGTGCGCGCGCTCCGCTGCTGGCCCCCCTGGTTTGGATCCTGGGCGCGCACCGATGCACCACTTCTCCGGCCGTGCTGAGGCCGCGTCCCACATACAGCAACTAGAAGGATGTGCAACTACGACATACAACTATCTACTGGGGCTTTGGGGGAAAATAAATAAATTAAAAAAAAAAAAAAAATTTTTCCCCAAGGATCTTATAGTGTAAAGGAGAGTTAGATGGAAATAAATACAAGATCCAGTGACGACATATCCGTCTGCCCTATCATAGAAGAGATGACAGTTAATCTTTGTCTTGAAGTGAGAGTTTGGGGGCCGACCCAGTGGCGCAAGCGGTTAAGTGCCTGCGCTCCGCTGCAGTGGCCCGGGGTTTGCCGGTTTGGAGCCCAGGTGTGCACGACGCACTGCTTGTCAGGCCATGCTGTGGTGGCGTCCCATATAAAGTAGAGGAAGATGGGCACAGATGTTAGCCCAGGGCCGGTCTTCTTCAGCAAAAAAGAGGAGGATTGGCATTGGATGTTAGCTCAGGGCTGGTCCTCCTCACAAAAAAAAAAAGTGAGAGTTTGATAGACAGGAAATCAAGGGGGTGAAAAGAAGATAGCCTTGTGAGAGGGAAAGACAGAA